CCCCCCCTCTCATTTGGCATATCTTTAATAACAAACTTCTTAACACCCTGAAAAGCAGTGCAGAGCCTGCAGGTTAGGTAACTTACTGGAGGTCATTGAACAAGTTGTTAGCAGAGTCTAGTGCTCAGCTTTGATATTTATTTATTTATTAGCTTTTTTTTTTTTTGGCTTCCATTTCTGCATCTGGGCCATAGTGGTCATCCCAGCTGTCCTGGAATATGTGAGAGTAGGGAACAATCATTGCCAGAGTGGGTTTGGGAATCAGGACCAGCTAGAAGCTGACCAATACTCCAGGATATGTGCTCTTTTCTATTTCATCTTATTAATCCTCCTCCCTTTTTACCTGCTGTCTGGTTTCAAGGGCATGTTCCCATTTAATGACTCGTCTCAAAAGACTTGTTTTGCCTTTCTTGCTTCTCTGTCCTTCTGCATCTCGAGAGGAAAATGCTGTGACAACTCAGTGACATTCCCTTCTTCTCCTTTCACTGCTTGTGACAAAGTGAGTGTGGGACTAGAGTCCAGTCTTCTCTTGGCAGCCCGAAAGGATGCTTAAAGGCCTGTGAATGCACCATTTCTCAGGCAGGCCTGTGCTGACACCTGGCGTTCAGTCTGGGAAAATGCTGATTATTGTACCGCCCTGCTCTGGCCTTGAGAGAATTCGGATGTGAACAAGCTGGCTGAGGGGGAAGCAGAGATTCTTGCTCCTAGATCTGCTCAGAGGACCAGGACAGCTTATTTTCCGGACTCTGCAAGCCATGTAACTCAGCAGTATGAGTAGTGCAGGATGGCTGAAATAATCTGTATGATCTTCATGGAAATGAGGGGAACCTTTGAGTGATACTCAGGGAAGGATATGGAGAGACTGACTTTGTATGTCAAACTCAGAAATGGAAACTGCTTTTATCCCTGTGGGATTTGTCTAGTCGAAGGTGTATCTCTGTGCTTTTGACTAGGTTGAAATCCACTACCCCATCATAGCGTAAACTTGAGACTTGGTGTTAGTCTGATCCAGACCCAAGTTTTCGGTCTAGAAAAATGTTTCATCTTACCAGCAGTCAGTCTCAGAGTTAGGCCAGCCAAACCAGTACAGCCTCAACCTTCATCCACTCCAAGGCTTGTTATATGTTAGGCACAGACAATCTAAAAATCTTTGGAAACCAAGCCTCCATATCAAAGCATCAACTACATGCATAGAAAGCAGCTCATCACTTCCTCCTTCGTCTCTGGAGAGGGACTGTTCAGAGTTGAACCAAAGCATGTTTCGTTAATAAACACTAATTGCCGTCTATCATCAAGCACACAGGGCCATTTTCTACTATTTTCTCAATTAAAAATCCACACTGAAGCCTCTGAAGAGATGAAGATCAGAACAGGCTCAATTTTCCATGCAAATAACTTTGCCTCTGATCTTGACCCAGGATTTTCATAACAAATAGAGACAGCACGGGGCTCCTGTGGCTCTGAGCTGCCCTGCGGTACCCAGCTGTCCCTCTCCCTCTCCCCGGTGGTGTTTCTTTCATGCCTGCTTGTGAAGGGATATGTGCACCTGAGGCATTTTTCTTTGACTTGAAAGTCATGGCTCTTCAACAACATTTATCTGTCCTCTCTTTTCTTTTTATTTTTTTTTTTTTTCCTCTCTCCGCACCCCCTCCCCCATTTGATCCCACTTACTGATGCTGACAGGAACCAGATGAAAGGATCTCAGCTTCTCAGTGTCAGTACTGGGCAACACCTAGATTTATATATGTGGTTTTGAGTACATGTGATTGCGTGTTTGTTTAACACTGTGTTAGCACGCCTGTGCAGCTTCCACACGTCTCCAGTAATACCATCATCAAGCGTTTAAAAAAAAAACCCAAAACCCAACACACCACCATCCCCTTGGATTCAAGAGACTGACTTTTAAAAGAATTATCTTTTTGAAGGGTTTGATTTGTATTCTTCATGGCTTTCTGTGATGCAGCTTGCTGTAATATGATTTTCATTTGTTTTCTTTGGTGGGAAAGTATTGGAGCAACTTACAAGCTACCTGAATGGGAACATCTTAACCGCATGCTTGCAGATATCTTCTAACAGAAATGAAGTTGTATTTGCACCAATGTAGGTATTCCGTGTAGACAAGTTCTGAGATTTGGGGAGGTGGGAAGGGAGGTTGTGCTTGAGGTAAGCAAAATATCTTGTTAGGTATTTATAAGTTGTGAGACCGGAGTGGCCATTGAAGCAAAATCCTGCATGAGTTGAACCACTGAATTTGCTTGAAATAATTCTTGCTTGAACTGGTGAATATATTTTTAGAACACCACCTGATCTGGATTCATAAGACACTAGTGCTAGAGTTAGTTCTGTGGTTCATTCTTTATCATGTAGAAACATACGTATTAGATTTATCGTGAGTATTTCAGCCTCGAACTTCAGTCTACTAAGATCTTTCTCTTATGCAGTAGTAATGCTCTACAGACCAAACCCTCTCCCCCCAACTTGTGCTTCTGTTCCCGTCAGAATGGTTCCCTCATTATGGAATTGCTCAAAGAAGGAAGCTAGCAGTATAGGGTTAAGGTTATGTGCAGCCCACTTACAAATTAATTGAACTCTGTGTAGAGTTACTAATTGTCAATGACAGGAAGTAATTCAGTTTGCTTTGATTTCTCTGAGTCATATGTAGAAGAGGAATTTACTATGCTCTGCTCATCACTGCAGAGGTGTCTTTTCCTCCAACAAGAAAAGTAAATTACCATTTGATGGGAGAAACAGCTTGTCCTTCTGATGTCTTCCATACAGCTAGACTACATCTTTGTCTCACCATCAGCCCCCTTGGTGGCTGGATAAGGGGAAAATATACATGTGTGGAGAGGAGATTCCTCTGTTGTGGAGAAGAGCTGGAAAGACAAAGTGCTTCAGAGACTTAATAGAAGTAATTTAATGTTGTTCCCACATAATTTGTATCTTTGAAACAATGATCAAAAAGAGTAATTAACCCCTTCTCTTCTCTAGCAGGATCTTACTACTCCCTCTTCTACTATCTACAGTTATATGTGCCTTGCAAGCGATAGGTTACTGGAAGGATGTACAGGCTGGCTTGAAATAAGCTGTCTCAGGTTCCAAAAGTGTCCTCACTATGTCTGTATGTCGAGGGCTAGATTCTGTGTCACCTACAAATATGAGTCTGGAATAGCTTTACTGGAGTGAAAGGAGTCATATTGCTGTACTTCTCTTATCTACCACTCATGCTCCTGATGGAGCTCCACCTGCACTTCTGTAGCTTCACCTTGTTTAGAGACACCTTTCTAAATTTATGTTGGTGTTTTAGGTTCTCAAGTAAACATACTAGTTAAAAATGTGAATTATGGCGAAGAGCAAAAAGAGAATATTATTTAAAAGAAACGTGTGTGCCTGGAGCAGTCTAGTAATTTCTTATCCTGTCACATCTCATCTACAAAACCTGGGAGAAACTCATTTTTCCATATTGCTTTAATAGCGTGGTTTCCAAGTTGTGCCCTGTGTTCTAAACTGGCACCTTTGTCACCTTCCCCCAAAGCAGGCGAGCGCAATGACGTGAGGTTCTCCTGGAGGCTGTGGTGAGAGCTTTGATGAAAGCCATTCCTCTGCTTCTGGCTCGCACCATGGGTGGCACTCTCAGGGGTCCAGGCAGGTCTGGAACTCCCTTGAGTGTCACTGTCGGGGCTCTGCTTATCCCAGGGCATTGCAGGGCTCTGCTCAGCTGCTGCTGCTCCCACAGCGCCGGCACTACACTATTGAGAGAGGAGTACAGGTTTGTACATAGCGGAGCCCTCTGCTTGCAGGACAAAGATCCAAGTTCTACATGTCTCAGCCCTTAGTGAACAGCGCGTTATCTAGGAAGTCTCACCCTGCTAAATGTTCACCTCCTTACTTGTTGGACACATCCCTGGCTACTTTCCATCTTCTTTTTCTTGGAGATTGCTGGATTCCAGTGACACACCAGGCTGTCATTTTGGACACTGTAGTTCTTGTTGCCAAGCAGCCAGTAGGTTTTCATTTTCCCTTTGCCCTGGACCAAAGAAAAGAGAGAGAGCAGTAAGCAGCTATTTTCATGGGATATGAGGTAGAGCAGAGAATCACTATGGCCGGGGCTTCTCTTCCCTCTCTCATAAGTGGCTGATGTTCAGGTAAAGAATTGTAATTTATCTGCAGTTTGGGTGCTAATAATTCTTTCAGTTCAGAAAAAGGCCTTGGTGCTCACTGGTAGTATTGCTAAGGGTTTAAAATCAGCCTTACACCCATGTGTCTTTGTAACTGAATCCTGACACTTTCACCCATATTCCTGTGGTTCCGTGCAGGTGCAGACATAGCAGCTGTATTTCAAAGCACAGAGTAATACTTCTGCGTCAATTAGGAGCAGTAATCTATAGCCACTTCCAGCTGAGTGAGCAAAAGAACCTTGGGGCCGTGGTTAAAAATTGACTTGCAATTCACAGAAGAGCAATGGCCACATCTATCATATCTCCTTCCTATCTCATTAAACTCCTTTACTGTTGCAAAGTTACAGGAAAGCTGTTACCTTGACTTCAATTTCTCCTCTCAGTTCAATTTCATAAGCATCATCTGTGAGAAGAGCATCATACGTAGCAGAACTGATGTGGATCTTCTGTGCTAGGATTCGGAACAGACCATTAGAAATGAACGATTCCCCTATTCCTAGAGACGACACACCAGCCCTCCTGCATTTGTCAGCCCAGTGTTTCCACCTTTTCTTTGGAAAATGTCAGCACAAAGAAGGGGAAGATGCCTTAAACATTGGTTGGGGACTCTGTGACACAACACACAGATGTCAGCTAAAACATAGCAGCATTTCAGCAGGTTACCAGACCCACAGACATGACTCTGCAGTGCTGCTCTGGATATCTCCGCACAACAGCATTGTACAGCAGTAAAACCAGGCGATACTGGTAACAAAGGCAGCATAAAAGGCTGGACCAAGAAAACATGCACTGCCCTCTTCTATGTAGCCATGGTGTTTCTACCTAATACCTTTGTGTTAAAGTCCTTAAAATCAAACTCAGCTTACTTTGTGCTATTTGGCTTTTGTCACTCTCTTTCTCCTCTTACCTCCAATCGCTTTCCAGAAATGGCAGAAGGGATGTTACTCTACTTCACCACGTGAATACACAAGAGTTTCTCCTGCTTATTTGATAACCAGTGTATGTACAGGGATAGCTGGGACTGCGGGTCCTGCATGTGCTGGTTCTTTTGATCTATGGTAATTAGTCTTTTAGCCTGGGATATACTGCAGAGAATTCTCCTTCCGTACGAACCTTATTTCACACTTGGCCCTGCCCAATGTGAGGAGGTGTTAGGGGTTTTCCTTTCACTGCAATACTTACGAGACCTAGAGTGCAGGTGTGAGCCTGACTGGCACGTAAGGAACGCAGAGATTGTGCCCGAGTCACTTACGCAAGCTGGTGGACTCCATGCGGGAGGCTGTGTTTACAGTGTCCCCAAATAGGCAATAACGAGGCATTTTGTACCCCACAACTCCAGCCACGCAGGGTCCTGAGGAAATGCAAGGCAGAGACACCCCAATAAGAAACGAGTGGAAAAAGTGCAGGGAGGTACCAAATGAAGACACCTTTGCCAGTCGCTCTGGATCCTGAGAGGGCAATGGCAACTGGGAATACTCAGTGCAGCTAGGGCCTGGCTGCACTGTATTTACTGAAGGAGAGAAGTCACAATTTGATTAGCTGTAGCTAATTGGTGCTGATATCAAGGGAGGATGCACTTTGCCAGTACTAAATTGTTTCACAGCCTTTTCCACACTGATGCGAGCAAAAGACATTTCACCCCACTGTTACTACTGGAACTGGGACAAATACTCAGCCTGGGGTCCTGCGGAGAGTCAATGGCTTGTACAGAAATGCAGAATTTCTCTCCTCACATAATTAGACTGTGTCCTATTCTCTTTTTCTTGTGCCTCCACCTCAGCCCGCGTACCTGTGTGTATCCCAGCCCGCAGCTGCAGTCTGCCCATTGGCATATGAGGGATCACAACCTGACGAACTGCCGCCACCAGATCCAGAGACATTTTGGCAATCTCGTCAGCGTGTTTGGTGCCATTCCTCTCTGGAAGGCCGCTCGCTACCATGTAGGCATCACCAATGGTTTCCACCTGATGGGAAAGGGCACGTGTCACTGAATGGCAGGCACCAAGGTTTTCTTTCAAAAGGAGACCAGAATAAAATATATCTCAGCTGTCCACCACTTGCCAAGCTGCGGTGTAGTCCCTGTGCGATGGTGGGTCTTGGATTTCACGGCTTTTGGCCAGCTGGCCCGGTGTGTTTGATATTCACTAGGGAACAAAGCAAGAAAGATTTCAGTAACGTCCAGATTCCTTGCCTGCAGGTTTGTACTCACCTTATAAACATCATAAGACTCAATCCTGCTGTCAAAGCAGACGTACAGATTGTTGAGCATCTCGACAACTTGCAAGGGAGTACAGGAGGCAGCAATGCTTGTGAACCCCACGATGTCCGAGAAAAAGATAGTCACCTATCACAGGGAGAAGGAAAGTGTGAAGCTAAGGTCTCCAGGCAACAGCGGCAGAGCCTTTGAAGAGTTTGGGGATTTGTGAAATTCTGAGCAGAACAGCCTAAGGCACAGGCTGCACATAGAACCAGTGTTGAGGAGCTGAATAAATACAATTCTAAATTAACAAGATCTGGCTCTAAATTGTTCTCTGTTAATTTGACAGATAAAATTATGTTTATCTCCAAAGTTTATCATCTGCACTTCTCTGAATACCTTGTGCTAGGTGGGAGACTGAAAGTCAAGTGCTTTGAATCTTGTGAGCGCTGATCAACAGAATTCTTGTAGAAGTAGGGCCTGATTTTTCTTTTAAAGCAATTTAAACTGTGGTAGAGATCAAAACTAGGTATCAAAACCGCTGTCTCTGCTCTTGTTGAATTCGGAAATACTAACTGGATTGTGTTTCTCTTCAAGTGATGTCTATCTTTGTTATCATCAAGTAATTTACAGACAAATTAACTTTTTAAAAACATCAGATATATAAAAGAAAGAGCAACAGCAACCATATCTGAATTCACAAAGGGAAATGTGTGTTATAGCTGTTGGCAAATAATTGTTTCTTCTCTGTGCTATGTGTGTTATAGCTGTTGGCAAATAATTAAGTGTTTCTTCTCTGTGCTGCGTGAACTTTCTCAGTGTTTAAACTGAAATTGTTCTTTTATTTGTCTTTCGTAATAACAATTAATCCAGAAGAGTCACCTTTTCACTCCCTGCCTTGGTTCAGCTACTTTTGATGTCTTGACTATTGTGAATTATAATTAATTGTGCAATTACAGGTTGCTGTTTCGATAATGACACCTACAAATTAGATACAAACATTTATTATTGTGTTTCACAGCTGACAGTAACAGGGCGTTCAGGGGAAAAAGAGTGAATAGAATTGCAATTACTGTAGCATGAGGATTTTGGCAGTGGGCTATGCAGCACAGCTGCTGTGCTCAGCATCGACAGCAGCGTGCATGCTCTGCCGCAGAGCTGCAAAGAAACGGGTGCCTGGCCAAACTCTGCCCGTGTTTTTGTGTCGACAGGCTTCGTTACAGTTCCACACTTGAGGCTACGAGATCATCCGTCCCTCTTATCCTTCTCTAAGTCCCACGCTCTCCTTTCAGTTATGTTTAATACTGACAAGTACAGACAGGATTTGTCCTATGTTGGTTTTTTGTGATTCTTCCCATTTTACAAGGAGGAAACTCAGTTCTTGCTCCTGTGTACTCATGATCTAACGATGCTGTCTGGCATTCATGAGTAGGCTCTTAAACCCAAGAAGACAACTTGCCAACACAGGATCTTTGACATCTAAAGCTACCCTTCTGGAAATTTCAGGTCTTCTTCCTTCCCCATCAGCCTAAGTGCTTCATGGCACATTGCACAGCTCTTTACAAAGCCCATGGTGACTATCTGGATTCCCATCCACACTCAACTATGGGTTGAGGTTCCTCAAAACGGAGGCAAGGTAGGTGCTTTTTTAGGTGAATACTTTTCTATCCTTGGTGACAGCATCCTTTCCATTTGCTAACCTGATCATAGTTTTCTGCCTCAACTTTTTGGCATTTCCTTAACTGCTTGGCCACAGATTTTGGCAGCATCTGGTGTAAGAGGTCCTCAGCTAGCCGCCTCTCCCTTTTCAAGTCTTCTGTCTTTTCCTTGATGTTCCTGGCATAATTGTGTATCCAATCTGTCATTTGCTTGAAGGACACCAGGATTATGGGGTAAATGAGGCAGGCTATCACTATCAGACTGATTTTAAGGCTCATTGTGGACAGGATTTCCTTAGATTTCTTGATAAGCTTTTCCTGTCCCTTCTGCAGTAGGCAGCTCTGTACATAACTCAGTCCCTTTGCCACGGCTTCAATGGACACAAATTCATCTGAGCCCAGGAATGGGATGAAAAAAGAGATTCCTTCATAGTGGGTGAAATGAAGTGATAGATTGACGTTATCCATCCAGCACTTATGTACACTCTCTGATGAGAAGATAGCATAGTTCAGAATGGCAAAAAATTGATGCAATGTTGTTTGAAAGCTTGTAGATGCTGGCATTAAATGAGCTTTCAGCATGTCTTCTCTTATTCGAAGGGTAAGTTTAAAAGCTACTATGTCTGCCCAGTCAGGATTGTATCTCATAGCTGTGAGGTCTTCATGGGGACTATTAAAACGCTCCAGCAGTTCAGAGATCGCTCTGGAGAGCACCTGGCTGGCTTCAGTATCCCTTGTGCTGTTTATTTTTTCTCTCATGTTAATGATGTAAAATCTACAGATGGAAATTTTCTCCTTCTTGCACTGGCAATTCTCACAGTACAGTTCTGCTTCACTTGCCTTACAGAGGGAGTTTAAATTCCCCAATAGCTGAGCATGAAATGATCTATTTCTCCTGTTTGCTGGTGGGAGCAGCCAGCTGTGCCTTTCTTCCTGCAGGAGATAGAGGAGGCGAACAGCCCAAAGGTTTTCACAGGACCTGAGTTCCTGAAGGGCTTTCCCTGTGTTTCTCCATATTTCCAAGCTGTTGCTCAGATCGAAAGAAATGGCTCCAAGGAGGCTGCAGAAGGAGACCATGCACGCTGTCAAAATCCTTTGAACTGTTTTTCTACCACCAGTATTGGAAGGGAGAGAACATCTGGGGAAAAAAAAAAAAAAAGAATAAAAAAAAAAAAGTGGGGGTGTCTGATCCCTGGGGGGCTGTTTCTTGCAGCTCCTGAAAACGTAACTGGAGCTAGTAGTGATGTTTAACAATTCACATGCATTCTGAAACAACGTACAGGGAACATACATTAGCTAAATGTTATTGAAAGACCTATTTTATTATATTTTGTTCCACCTGACATCTTATTTTAAAAGAAAAGGTGTAGTAAAGAGACTGTTTCCATGACACACTCAGAGCTGCGAAAACAGATGAATGAAATCATTCAGTTTTTCTGTGAGTATTAGGACTGATAAAATCATTTGCTGTAGGTCTTATTCTCTGGGTACTCCTATGCAGATCCTTAAAGAAGTCCTTGAAAAGATGGGTTACTTATTTCAGTGATCACAAACTGGAACTGTTGAATTTTTTTAGAACTTTTAGAATTCGTTCTTAATAGGAATTGCCGTATGATGAATAATTTGCCTTGATATGTTCAAATGAGTTCAGATGTTTCCACAATATTGTCTAAATATTTCAAAAGGAAAATTGATCACATTTCAGTTTTGTTTCAGTTTTTATAGAAGCATATACATACCCAATTTTAACTGTTTGAACTTCATGATTACCTTTTCTGTCCTCCTCTTTCATGCTAAACATAGACATCCGTGTTCCACGCAGCAAAGTAACCTCCAACGATTTTCATTTTCGGAACTATTAATCAATCATTTACAATCTTATCATTAATAATACTCATGAAAACAACTCAGGATGTTACACTGAAGCTGGCGACTCCTGAACAACTGGGCAACCCTTATTTCCACTGATAAAGAACCAGGGGACTGGGGTGCTGATCAGTCCATTCAGCTCAGTCTGTTTTTCTATCTCTGCATAGTAGAAGTGATTGAAAAAAGCCCTCCTCGGATCCCCTACTCTTTCAGATAGGTGAAATTACATTTTTAATAAGATAAATGAAAACCCAGTAAAGCCTGCTATTTCTCAGTAGAGGCTGATATTAGGCAGAACAAGTTCCTGCTGGGCTCTTCACGGCAGAATGGTGGTCAATGGTTGTAAAGTAGAAGTAATAAAAGCACAGCCCCCAAAGATGATAAACAGTCATGTTTTCTCTTATTTATTTAATACAATCTATGTTTAATAATATATATATTTTCAATCCAAAGGTAACAACTGCAAAATGTCTGACTGAAAGGAACCACAAGCCTAGAAAAATTTATCTCTGAACCCAGATGAATTTCTGTTGTGACAATGAACTTCCAATCTTTTCCTTACGCTATCTACTGCTTACCTTTGAGTCACTTGTCCTCCGTTTTTAATCAATCGTTTTACTTTTGAATCCACCAAAATACGTGCCAGGGGCAAGAAGAAAAACACAACAAAAATCCGCCTTGATTTTATACTGCTTATCTTTTATTACAATGAAAGAAATATAAAGAGGGGCTTTAATTTAGTATCAGGCTAAAAGGTGGTGATTCTGGTTGTGCTTTGCAAAAAATCCCCATTTGTATCTGTGTGTCAGCAAACAGTGACAGTCCAGAGGTCTTCACTTGGCATCTGAATGCTTTAAAAAAGAGCAACAGGGGTGTGAAGATGGGTCTGCAGAGACGCACTCGCTGCTAGATTTTACCCTTCCCCTTGCTAAGTCCCAAGATCACAGGGTGCTAAAAACCTCTCTGTAAAAGCATTTTGCAGCGCTGTCACACTCACCTGCATGGACCAGCCCGTGCTGCTTTCCCTCTGGGCATCGCCGCTGCGCGTTCCGGTGAGTCCCGCTCACAGACTCAGGGGTCCCATCAGCTGCCTGCTGCCTTCAGCCCTGCCGGTGCCTCGCTGTCTCACCCCTTACCCCCCCGGAGCTGTTCCTGTGCTCGCTAACCCTTCCTGTTCCCAACCTCTGCGCAGCAGGCTCGCGTCTTCCCCAGGTGAGGGTGGTAAGCTCCAGCCCAAGGCAGGGGAAAGGCTGTAAAAGGTCTCCAGCATTATCACTAAATACAGGCTCTGGTCCTGACAATACACGGGAAGAAGTGACAGGGACACAATTTTTTCTTTCATGTTGCAAAAAATAGTGTTTATTGCAGTATGGTTAGGTATAATACTTGTGTTGTTAAAAGTATAGTTTCCCAGCTCTTTGTGATCGAAGGTGTCATGATTATGACTTTTTTCAAACTGTTTTCCTTCTTTGCATCTATCCGCCAGTTCTCGTTGGATTAGTTGGTTGCCATAACCTACAAAAATGTAAAACAAGTGAAAAATCAGATCATGAGACCCAGGAATTTGTGAATAGTAAATGTTGTATCCAAGATGCAAGATTTAAATAACTGAAATAAGATGTTTGCTTCTCACTCTCTTTTCAGATTAAAGAGTATATTAAACTAAAAAAAAATTGATGTTCCAGACTTGAGCAGCAAGCGCTGCCTTCTAGAATGCAATTGCAACAATCAGTGTTATTGATGAATACAAATCATAGAATCATAGAAGGGTTTAGGTTGGAAGGGACCTTAAAGATCATCTATTCCAACTCCCTGTGCTGTGTGCAAGGACAAATTTGAATGATCGCTTCGGAAGTCATACCAGTAAAATCTTTATGACTCTACATATAGCTCTAGTATAAAGAGAGAATGCATTCCTAAACATCGAGACTTACTTAAAAGGGATTTGGGTAACTAAGGGGAGGATACTTTATTTTTACTTTTGCACCGGTAAGGGCTTATCTACAGAGGTTACTTGTATGTAAAGTAGCATTTGAATCAAAAGTGATAGAGCTCCCTATCCCTATTTCTGTAGGTGGCAGAAATCTCCATCAGAGGGAACCTCAGAAATCGCCAAGTGTCTGCATTCTCTAGCAGCAGTAGCTAGAACCTTACCCACTGGATCCAGTTATTGTAAGCAGACACCCGGGTGAAGACAGAAGGCTTGTGATAATAGTTGCAGCCAAGAGAAGAGCCAAAGCTGACGATACCGTGCACTTCCCACCGGCCATCAGCACCTTGGCAGTTCAGTGGGCCACCAGAGTCCCCCTGGAAGGAAGGGGGAACACAATTAATAGCGGTCATAGTTTGAATAGCTTGTCCTTGGGTTTTTTTAAGCTTTTCTTCCCATCAGGCTTGTTTGTGTCTGAAACCAAGCCCTAAGAGCGGTGTTCTCTGGACTCACATTACAACTGGAGGTGATTCCATCCCCACCAGCACAAACCATGGTGGGTTTCACGGTGCTTCCCCACCAGCTAGGCTTGGAACAAGTTGCGTAATCCACCACCAGCAAAAGGCCTTGCTGCAGGTCGTCTGGAAGGGGTCCGTTTGCTGGGAGGGAATAGAAACAAAGGAGTCATGGTACCAGCTGGTGCTGAAGAAAGAACAAAACTGCATCGTTAAGTTTCTCCCAGGATCTGGGTACTGTCCCTCCAGGTAAGAAACTCCACAGGGGCTATATTAAAGGAGAAGCTGTATAATCGATTCCTTAGCTCCATTCTTTTATATATACACACACACACATATATATAAAGCCTTAACTTATTACTAATTTGTGTTCTGTTTAAAAATGTCTCATCGTTGGAGAAATAAACTCCTTTGTTCAGGAGTTTGCAATTTACTTTATCACTGTGGGAGTTGCCTTTGAGCCGAGCTGACACTTCTGCTGAAGTCTCTGAGATTTTCTTCACTTTGCATCTCTTCCCTTATGTGTCTTTTCAGTTATCCAGCGGGGTATGTTAGCATTAGCAAATTCACCAGCCTGCACACTGTTAACATTTGTGTTATAATAGCTTCTAAAAGCTTAGTACAGGGCCCTCTAGTGCATTACTAGCCCCATTACAAGCAAAATAAAGCAAAGGCAGGGAAAAATCATACTGTGTGAATGAAGCGGGGCCTGATGAACTCTCACTACACTGAGGTTGAGGGGATCTTGAGCACCATCAGCAGTCTTTTTCCAGTCAATCCCAAAGGAGAAGCCAGTACTGAAAGATTTTGTTCCACAGTTTTGCAAATGTCCCAAGTACTTACTCTGCAGTCTTCCCCATCCCGTCACGTAGCAGGCAGTGTTGGATGACAGGATGCTTTGCGCAGTGGGGAGGCAGGCCAGCTTAATGTGGTTACTTAAGGTGACGTGTTCAGCGAGCTTGATCAAAGCAATGTCGTACCTGTGGTCATACGCACACATTTGAGAGTGAGGAAGAGAAAGGGAAGGGGTGAAGAGGTTTGCAAATAGATGAAGGCACAATAGCATGAATACTTCACAGTTATACAGCACTTGGCCTGTTCAAAAGAGATGCAGGGGAGCAAGGAAGCCAGTACATAAGCAGTAAACATTCCTCCACCCTCAAAGCAATGGGGAACTCCATGGACTGGAAAACTGTTCCCTGCAGAACTGTCCACTTTCCCGCTGGCAGCTTTCTGGAAATTACCTTCTACACATTCTTTTCACCAAAACCAAGCATGTGTTAGGACTAACCTCAAGGACCTGGAAACTGAGGGGATTTCTTTGCTAATGCCCTTAGCCTGCACCAGGACGTAGGAGTCCTTCAGCAAGAAAGATATTAATACCATCGATCAATAATACTCTGTGTTTATGCCATTTGTAGGAGGGCTTCAAAGAGCATTGTGTAAGTTAATTCCCTTCCACAGTACAAAAGAAACCATCGCATAGAACAGCTTTCCACCCAAGCATACACGCAAAATGGCATCTGAAAACACAATTAATCAATAAGGAATTAATATTGAACGTTCTTTATCAGTTCTTTATCTTCTCTTGAGCGGGAAAGGTACAAACTGGAGACTTGAATCTTATCTATGAGCAAACATTTAGAAGTACCGCTGTAGGCTGTAACAGTTGGCTCTAAACATTTACGCATTTAGCTGCCGCAGCTCGAGATGGGTGGGATTCAGGCAGTTTGATTTTTGCCCTGCATCTAATAACTGAAAAAATACTTGCCACCAGCTTACCCATTTGCAACATTTTGTGGATTCCAGTTCTCGTTAACAATGATCTTTTCTGGAGGAAGCGCAACTGATCCTTCTTCCGCGGCTGCTAGATTGTATTTTCCAAGAACTACTTGATAGTTCCGGGAAGAACTGGGCAAGAAAAGGAGTAACAGTTATGCAGCTGCTGGCTTGCTGCTTAGGCATCGGCATCTTTGCCACCTGAGATATTCAATGAGAACATCCTTAAGACTCTAATCTCACATCACATATGTGATTCGTCTGGAGCTGAGCCAACGGCTGACTGATTTGCTAAGGACAAAGCTAGGCTTAATCATCGTTTCATCTCCAAGCCGTCCTGTCAACTCCTGCTGAAGGCTTCATTAACACACACCAGATGCCTCCAATCTTTGCAGGATTCAGCTCATATTCTTCAAGGAAGTAAATAATTTGGACTGCTTTTTGACAGCGATAAACAGCTTCACTGATAAACAGCTGTGTGATAGGTACAATACGTAGGATTTATAATAATGACATTCAGCCAATCCTTCTTATTTCATATTATGACATTTTTTACAACTTAGTGTTACAATAACCAAGAACTGCACGTACGCATTCAAGGAAATACACTACCAAACCAAAACGTCTTTGTGGAAACAGTTTTGATGATGAAAGGGCATAGCTGTACCTGATCATTTCTTTGTTATACTGCGCCATAATATGAAGAGCTTACGGAAAATAACTGGTACATTCAAAGCATTTGTGATTATTTCTTCATGGAGTGGACAATTAACGTGTGGATCTCACTGCCACATATATTATAGAAACAGGCAACAGCTGAATTTTAATAGCAACTTGAAAGCACAATGATGTTTGTAGTTATTTACAGAAAATGAAGTATATAATTCAGGGGGTTTTCACCCTCTACTTTTATTTTAAGGAAATGAAAAGGTGTCATTCTTCTTCTGACCTCTTAGTTATAATCAAAAGATATGATGTGAAACTCAGACCTCTTAATTGGGAAAGGGAGAACTGGCATTAATACGGTTTTGCTTCATCTGTCTCTAGTCATGCACTGGTTCCTGGGTACAGACTGTAACGCCACTACTTACCTGATGCAGTGTGCAGCTGTCATCACCCAGTTGGTTGCAATGAGGGTTCCTCCGCAGGTGTGATACCATTTGCCATTTGAACTGTATTGAAGGGAGGCCTAGGATCAACAGATCAAGTAAGGCTCGGATTTTTGCTTACTGATTTTTTCCATTGTTGCACTTTTCTTTCTGCACCCAGAACACAACTTGCTGCTGCAAGATGGTGGGAGGCTTTTAAGCAACAAGTTTCCCATTCCTGGACATAGAATAGGTTTCCCTCCTTCCCCATCGTCCAAAAGCTTGATTTTTTTAATGTTGTTTCTTCCAAAGCTCTGACTAAGCCTGGCCCAAATAGAGCATTTCATTTGCTTCAGAAATGTATTTTTTAACTCCATGTACAACCATGCTCCAGCAGGCATTGTATGCTCCATGGAATTTCACTCATCTTGCTTAAATATGGGATGGTCCCTAAGAGTACTGAAAGAACACGAAAGCCTGCGTAACCAGCAAGAGGTGGCACATCCAGAGCTTTCGGAAAAAGACTGGAAACTTTGGGATTAATCAGAATGTAATAGCGAAACCCTAAGACAGACAGGCAAGATGCATCAGATGAAATACAAGACCTGGTTTTGTTCAGCCGTGTTGTGTGAGGGTGGTGCAACCCGAATTGTTCCAGGGAAAGCACAAAGCGACTAACCTGCCAGGGCCAGCTGTAAGGTCTTGCGTCTTCCCCTCCGACAACTTTAGACACCACAGGGGGGTAGGCAGGAACCCCGCAGCCAAAGGCTAGAAGGCAAACAAAATAGGATGCATGTTTTAAAAGTAGAACGCTTAAAAGAAAGTCTGTAAGAGAGGGTTTTTTTAAAATACAGACTGTGGTTGTACAGAACATTGAAAGGTACAAATACAGGCTGTGATTTAATGTGATACAAGTGGGGATACAGCTACCGGTCAAAACTGACCAATGTTAAACAAAGCCTTTTTGAACAGTTTCATTTTTCTTACAGATAATCAAATCAAGTTCGCTTAGCCAAATTCTCACGTGTCAGCTGAGATGCAGCTCTTAGCCAATGCAACAATTTGTTGGGGATTAACTCTATTTCAGTGTATTCAAGCTAAGTAAAATAACTTTGAATGTCCTGAATGCTAATCGAACCCCTGTAGTAAGAACAGAACAGCACAGCACCTTGTTACTGTTTTGAGAAAACTGTTTAATTAACTGCCTGTGCTGTATCACTTTCTGCTTTGTTGCAGAATGTCTAATTTCCCTAAAAAAGGAAAGCCGCGGTTAGATTTTTATTCATTTTTCCTTTGATACTAATGCTGAAATTGGGTACGTACCTGCAGCTGCCAGGGCCAACACAGCAACGAGGACTCCGAGCATGATGCCAGTTAGCTGTATGCTGCAGGGTCTGCTTTGCAAGCCATTTTATATGTTATTTTTTATCTCTGGGACATGTGACTTAAAATGTAGTGCTATTCTGAAACAAACGGAAAACTTGTGTAATTGTGGGATAAATTTTTATATGCACAAGTGCCTGAAAATAAAACAGTTTAGATGGACCTTGGATGCAGGCTATGTAAACAGCTTGGTTAAAAAAAATTCCGACTGAGTTGCATATTATCTGTAGCAGCTGTTTGCTTTCCCATTGCCTTGGAAGTTCATCAAAAAGGTGTTTTCAGAAGGAAAATGTTAAATGAATTATTCTAACACTTAATGGCATGTCAGCAGTAACAGCGTCTGATCTATACAGACAGTGATAGGTTCAGACATGTCAGCGGGGTTGGATTAGACAGTCTCTGGAGACCCTCTTCCAACCTTAATTATTGTACAATTCTGTGGTTGCTTGAAATTTCATTTTGTTCTGGTTTGTTTTGTGACTGATGTCAACTACCACTTTGTACTGACTGAAAACCTGTATCTTCTTTTCTAGATCAAGTTGCGTGTGTTTTAGCATGCCATACTTCTTCAGTGAAACAAACTGTAATCACTTTGAAGTGGAAGATGTTTCAAGCAATACAAAGAACCAGCTGCCCATGATGACGGAAAAACACTGGTGTGGCACGGTAAGCCAGACTTCACCTCTTTCCTATTTACCTTTAATTGTTAGATCAGTAGCACATCCCTGAAGAGAATAGGGTTTCTGTAGCATTGCAAATATAAGCATTTTTATACCCCAAATCAGCATGCTGACCTGTGGTATAATGGTGCTCGTTAATGACAAAAGGTAAACCATTTTCACCAATAGGACAAACCAGGCAAGAGCAGACATTTACACCACTACAGAGCTGCTGTCACAAAAGAAAGTGTCCTAATTCATTACTGGGCATTTGAGATCAATGACTTGATATCAACGCTTACCCTTGTAACTCTTTCTTCCTATTTTTTCTTCTCCTACCAGAATTTTCCATCCTCTGTCACATTTCCATCTGCTTACCCTTCACCTGAAAAACTCTTACTGGTTATTTAAAAAACAAACATCTCTATCCCTTAGGCCAGGTCACACATAGGGAGCAAATTTATTAGAATGGAGACAAATACCATAATGCCAGTTTTGTAACCAGAGTTGTGTTGTACATACAGACCAAGCTAGAGGTTTCAGAAAAGCTGAAATAAATCTATTGTTTACTGTCAGTATTAACAAGCAGAAAAATCCCTGATTTTCATAGCTTCCATTCAGCAGTAGGTACTGATTTGGATGAAAGATGCCTGGAGCACACATGTGGAAGACAGAAATATGTAACGCTTTGCTGTTCTGTCTGCTTCTCAAGAATGCATTATCCTACCCAAACAATAGCACTTGAGAAAGCTGCGCTCTGAATTTCAAATGGAATCAACCAAACTCTGTTCTGGCGTTTTGTATTTATTATCTGACAAAAGCATAAATCAGGATTAACTGAGTACAGAATTGAGATTCTAAAATTTTTTTTTCATTAATTACTTGGCTCTCTTCTTAATGTCTTAATTTACAAGCTAAACAACATACTATGCTTTTCAGTTTAACTTCCATGCTGCTATCATTTTCATTGAATACCAACTAAAAATTAAATATAAATTTTGAATGTTCAGCTACTGTTTCAACTTTCCTGTTTTGAGTGTGCTTGTAAACATGGAAATTTGTTTAGTTTTTTTAAGCATTTCTGCAACCATTTCACAAATAACCTGCTATCTTGCACACTGTAGACAGAGAAACCCTATTCTTTCTTTTTCCCTTTCTTTGTAAAGGTATTCTGAAACAGTTCTTGTATTATATGGGGGGAAGCCTCATGAGAATCATCACATTTTTAATGTGAAACACTCTCAAAGCTTTTTTGGTTTTTGTTCCACTCTCGCTTTATGTAACAATTGCTTATCCATCTTTTCCAGGTCTAGCCTAAATAGGCTGGAGTATCTTTCTTGGACTCAGTGGGCAGCATCGTGTTGGCAGTTCTCAAGCGAACATCAAAAGCCTCAGCCTCCAGCTGATACCATGGTGGCTTGGAAACAGCTCCCTAGAAGCTCTTATCATCTTCATGCCAGATGTTTCACAGAAACGAAGCAGCTCACGGACCTTCAGGAAGAAAGAGCAGGAACTTCTGGTATGTTCTGTTAAAGCATGATAGCTAATATCTTTTTCAAGACATGATGTACTTGGTGTACAATTTATAATGTACTTCATTGCTTTACTATCTTTAGTCTGTTCCCTTGCAGGGTAGTAACTATGCTAGACCAATTAGTAAGTGGAACAGTCTGCAGATAAGTAACGCACTGAAATCTGTTTTTCTGAGGGAGGTTTTTAATCTGAAATTAGGCAGTAACCTATTTAAAAATTCAAAGTTAAATCCTGCCCTAGCTTTTAATGGGGAGCACCAAATGTGCCAAATTCATTTCTTGCTGGATGGCCATTAAATCTGCTACTTGATTGTTCCCTGGGTTTGTTTCTGTGTGCTCTTAAAACTAGAGCTTGGCCTCCATGCTTCAAGACAGAACAAGGTTACACAGAGCCCAGGAAATGGAGATTAGCACCACCCTGTGTGTTTCCGTCTCTTACTGTGCCTTCCAAATTGTCTGTTCCCAGCGTAGACCCATTTATGTATTATTTTCCACACTGTATTTCCTTTTAAGGCAAGCACTTTTGTAGTCAATACTGGCCACAGATGTAATATAAGGTTCTACTTGTTTTAACTGGGTGGGGAGCAAGGGGAGGAGAGAACACCGACAGGAAAAAAAAAGAGGAAAGAAAAAAAAAAACCAAACCAGCCACACTTTGGTGATCAGATTAGACTGAAAAGATATTTATTTAGAAACAACAGCTTTGGTATTTTAAAACCAAACAACCTTTAAATCACTAGAAAGTGGGATGTCTCCCCCCATAGCCAAAACAAATCAACGCACAAAGTCTCAGTATGCTTACAACAGGAAACCTGCCCATCAGCGTTTCCAAGTGTAAATCCAGAAAACAATTTCATTAAATTGGTTTTGCACTCTACAATCATAAAGGCTGAAAAACCTGTTACCAGAACTTAGATATCTACAGTTCAATTGGCTGACTTTTTACTGAAGTGGAGGCAAAGTTATTAACATCCTCCCCCTCCCCCTAAGCAATAAATTAAAAAATTTATACCAGAAAGGAAGTTACACTAAAGCTTTCTAGTTAAGTTAACTCTCTGAAGGGAATCATCATTCTTTAATTTCCTGTAAAATTAAAAAAAAAAAAAATCAAAACATCAAAGGACTTGGTATATCTTCAAGTATTTTCACCAAATGGATTACTCTTAGGGAACTGAACAGCTTACAAGGAAAAAAGAAACATCTGTTACACAAGCTTCTGGGATAAACTCTGGTATAACCACACCTTCCAAGTCTCAGATTCCTCTCTTAACAAGGCACAAAAGGATTGTTGCTTTCAAAAGGTCCTTGTTCTCAGCTGCAAAATAGTCAGATGTCTTGTGCAAATGGAGGCTGAAAGCAGGACTAAGTTCACTTGGACACTGGGATGTTCCCATTCAGTTAATGAAACGGTGTTATTTCAACACCATTAATCTCGCTTACTGCTACAGAGATTTTGAGCTTCAGCTGCCTTCCACTTCATCCCTGTTTCTGCAATCAACTTCTGCATCATCTTCATTTTAAGTAGGTCCAATTAAGACGAGGCAACAGACTTGTTTGCTGTACACTGCAAGGCTTTTTCTAGTGTCAAGAAGGAAGAGGTGTTACATCAGCCCTGATGTGGAGCTGTGAAGCTTCTCAGCATTTCAGAGCATAGTGTCAGGGACAGTTACCTGTAGTAAGCGTTAACAAGTCACTCTGTAAAAGGCAGAAGGCAAGTCCTGTAGATGACAAAGGCAACCAGATAGACAGCAGTGAAAAAAAGACATAAATTCAGGACACGTTTCAGGGTGTGTCTCAGAGCACAGCTGTGTACACAATAATTGAAACTACTTCCTGACCGCTTCCTCCTTTTGCACTATGTTTCTGATCATGATCGTAGGCTTATAACTGAAGTTGTCTTTGATATACAGATCTATTCTCCCTCTTCCTAGGTTAGTCTGTCTACCCACAAGCACCTTCCACTCATTCTTTAAATGGATGACAGGTATTCAGACCTGCTTGGGATCAGGCCTGATCTCCAGCGCTGAACACTACAAAGCTGAGAGGAAAATTGCCAACTCGCTTTGAACACCCCTTATGTACTGACTGTCAAGTGTAGTCCGGTACTTGCTGTCCAGCCTTAGCTATCCAAAATTGAATTGCTTTTACAATTTGGAAAAACAGGGCAATCTAAAGCTAGAACTCTTCCTCTGATAGCTCTATTTAAATATGTCCTTCTTCTATTTCCTTTGTTTTTCTAAACACAAGCTACATTTAACTCTTCAACCCTAAGGAGAGATGCCTCTGAACAATATGGCCAGCTCACATAGCAACTCCAGTCTCGTCTCTCATTTCCATTCTGTACCAACATGCAACCAGAAAGTACCAGTACTAAGAGCAGAAATCACCATCCATTCTGTGCTAAGTTTTTACTAGCAACTAAGTTTTCTAAGGCAACTCAAAACAAGAATTTCAAGTCCTCTACACCAAAGTGAGATGCAGTAGAGCTTGAAGTCAGAACCTCCAACTCACAGTAAAAAGTACTCAGTACTTTTCCTAACACAGCTATGTATTTTGTCTGAATGGGAGAAACACTTAACTCAGCACTTTCCCAAAATGATGGTGGTAAACATGGTTTGATGGAGGACTGCAGCGTCTATAAATCGATGAACGTTTACCAGTAGTCCCAACAAGTCAGCACCTCGACCTAAGAAGACCATAGCTTGCATTTGTGTGCTCTTGTACAACACGTCACACATTCACACCAGGCAGACAAGTGTGCATGTCTCCCACACAGTAGTAAAGACAAGTATAGCAGCTCTCTCACAAGCATTCCAGTACTGCGTAACAAGAGACATCATCTTATTACAGCTGCAACTGTTGGCTTAAGAACAAGCAATGTCCTACACAAATGTGTGGAAAAAGGACAGAAAAGCTGTGCCTGCATTGATCTGCAGCCTTACAGATGTTTAAGAAGGACAGATGATGGCTTTATCTTTTCTAATGTTTCTCAGCCCTACTACTCCAATCCCTGCCCTAATCCTACTTCTTGCAAGAAGAGGTCAGATATCGCTTGTCGCAAGAGAGACTGAAAATCCTCACAGTCCAAGACAGAACCACCCTAGGCACAGCTGACAGAAAATCAGGTTGACAACACTCAGTGGACAGCAGCCAAAAGCAGCCGCCTTATACCTTACTCCTGAAGAGCGGCTTGGCTCCTGGCCCGCAGTATTCGTTGTAGATGAGTTTGAACAGAAACAAGTGAAACAATGTGATTAAGGAGGCCACGCTGAACCAAAACAGGAAGGGTAAGCCTGGGTATTGCTTGGCCATGTGTTCCTCATGAGCCAGAATAGCTTTCAGATGGAGTGTGTGTCTCAGGTCCTGCAAGTGGATCAAATCTGTTGATATATAAAGCAGTGGCGTGATGGGTTGAGTCACCATGACAGGGAACGTATGACCTCGTGCCTCTGAGGTGAGCTCCACGGGCTCGTTCATACAGCCTGCCTCACACGCATATAGTCTGACTGGCTTGTCTTGGAATTTCACAGACACGTGCAAGAAGGGCTTTCCTTCAGCATCCAGCAGAACTGCTAGATTAATCAAGTCCTTATTGTAATGGATCCCACGTAAGGAATAGCTGTTATGAAGCACATCAGGGTCAGCCTGAAACTGAAGATGGTTTTCTGTGAACTGCAGACCCCCAAAACTAAGCACCATTCCCTGCATAAGTCCATGGACTCCAGCTGCCACAAGACCCTTGCATCCCCGTTTCTGGAGAGTTAGCTTCCACAGGTCTGAGAGTTGCAAGATCTGGGTGACACTGGTCAGCTTTGCTGGCCACAGGTTCTCTGCATGCATGGTCGCGTGGCCACTGAAGCAGTGGTCAGCATAGTTCAAGCTGGCTTCCATTTTTTCTCTGTCCTCACCACTAATGAGCGGATCTAGCAGAGGAGCTGGCATGCTTGACAGCACATAGTAGAGGGTCATGTTAACAGTCTCACTGGATGGTGTATGCAAATCTGTGATCTTTCGCATTTCAACCCCTGTAATACAAAAGAACAACCGAGAGTTAGAAGATCACATATAAACACAACATTAACTAGGAGAAAAATAAGATCAAATGTGTGTGGTGGTGTTCTTTATAACATCTAAGCACCCTTTGCCTATGAAACGTTGACGTGGAATGTTTCCTTGTACTGTCTTAGATGTGCTCTCTCTGTTACTTGCAGTCTGAAAGCCAAGCTCCCACTAAAGGCAAAGCTAGTTTGATATACGGAGCTGTGACCATGACTCCGCAAGAATGATCTGTCAAAGGAACCTCTATCTTACTGGCTATAAAAGAGCAAGTTCTACATTACTTGGGCAGCGAGTCTTCTATGCAAGGCTGTGAAATTTTTAAGCAAAAGCATCCCTGTAGGACACTCCTTAACTTCCATGAAGAAATCTGCCCTTTATGCTGTTATTAGAGGTCAACTCTACTTCGAGCTTAGAGCTGCCACGCTGGGCAAATCAGTGAAGTACCCAAAGACACAAAAGCCAGCACATCCAGTGTTACGATTAGAAATGTCCTATCATTTCCTGTATGCAGTAAGGAATACTCTGCTTTTGTAAAGTAGGGCAGCTTCCAAACCAGGAACAGTTTTATTATCCCACAACATGCCTTCTGGCCCCCGAGAGAAACCCCTCAGGAAGAGTGGAGCCTCTTACAGCAACGAGGTCACTGAGCTTTCTGCTGCCCTCTAAAGCAACCCTTTGGAAGCTGAGCATCACTTTCCTTACCTGAAATGAACAGGTCTGACCAGGTCTGTTGGTGCTCCTGGAAAAGATCTTCCACCCCCATCTGCATCACCTCCAGCATCTCTTTCTTGGCTGACTCCCTCAGCTTGCTGAAGGTCTCCTCCAGCCTGGAGACCTCGATGGGCTCTGAGGTGTACACCACGGAGAGCACGGTTTCGTCGAAGTGGGATTTGGGAGCTACCTGCACCCGACTCACAAGCTTCTTGGCAGCCACCACCATAAGCACCACCTTGGGGCTCCCGGCCAGCAGCAGGCGACCGGAGGAGAGCAGGAACTGTCGCTCCTCCACCTTCTCCAGGCTGGTAGCGAAGCGGCCGCCCAGCGAGGGCGCAGAAGCTGGGGCCGAGGCCTCGAAGGCGGCCACCCGCTCGGTGGGGTTGGCAATGCGGATGCGCTGCAGGTAGAGATGCGGTCGGCTCCGGTGGGCCACCACCTCCTCCCGCACCGTCACGCAGTCCCCGGCGCCGGTCCCGGGCCCCGTCT